CTTTTTATATTTTATATCAAAATCATACATAGATAATTTAAGACCACCTAAATAGACGACAGTAGGGTGTTTTATATTTTTAAGCCAAACTAAAGCAGCATGATCAGTATGTACGTAAAATGGTTACCATTAAATAATAATAAAATTTATCAATTGCATCAATAATAGATAAACATCCAGTTCAGTAATGGCATATTTTGTTCATAAGATCTTAATTTTCTAGAATGAAAAGCAATTGGATGTAAACTACCATCAGGATGTTCTTGTTTTAAAACAGCACCAACAGCTTCTTTGGACGCATCAACAAATACATGACAGGGATATTAGGATTAAACAAAGTTTAAAATAGGTCTAGAAATCAATGCATTTTACTTTTTGAAAGCTTTTTGACATTCATCAGTCCAATTATAAGGAGTATCTTTCTTAAGTAAATTTGTTATGGGGTTCTAATTTTAGCATTAATTTTGAATAAATTTATGATAACATTAATACTTCCTAATTCTGGGCTGGTATTTACCCGCTTGAATTCATATCCTAGAAAATTTATTTTTTCTTTAGCAAATTACATTAGATTGTTTTTAATTGATTTCTCTTTCTCACATATATCAAATATTATTTTAAGATGATTTAATGTTCTCAAAATTTGGAGAGAATACTATATCCTCATCAAAATATTTAAAGCAATTGAATCTGATATTTGTTTACAATTGTCTAAGAGCTCGTTGGAAACAGCTGGGGAATTTTTCCAACCAAAAGGAAATCTAGTAAACTCATACAGTCCAAAATTTGTAGTGAAGCCAATTTTTCAGTATCCTTTCATTTAATTTTATATGCATAGCCTGATGCCAAATCCATGTAGAAAGATTTTTGCATTTGTTAATTGATCTAATACAGCATCATTCTAGGAATAGGTTCAGAATCACTTTAGTAATTTGGTTAGCTTCCTGAAATCAATACACAATCTGCTTCTGGATTGCTCGTCTCGCTTATAAGCTAAAGTTACAGGAGCACATAAGGACTATAAGAAGGTTTAATAATTCCAGCTTTTAACATTCATCTATTTGTTTTTTATTTCACTATTATCTTAGGAGATGCTCTATATGGTCTATAGGCTATTGGTAATTCAGAAGTTAATATAAACTGGGAGGTTCAACCTTATACAACCACATCATATTTACTTTTTGCAAATATATGGTTATATCATTCAACAATTTCTGTAATTTACTATCAGAATTTTTACTATTTCAAAATAATTACCACAATTTTTAGAACTAAGATCATTTTACATACAAAATTTTCGTTATCAAAATATTTACTAGATTGTTCAGCACTGATATCATTTTTACATACTAATTATTTTGGAAAAACTTGTCTACTTTAACATTTTTACTACCTGTTTTCCAAGCTGATACACTTCAGAATTATGAAAATCAATTGTAATTTATAATGAAACACATGTGATGAAGCAATAAATAATTCAAATTTGATCTACTACATAAAATATCACATTTTTTCTATTTTACCTACTTTACACTTACTTTGATTTTTCTCTATATGAACTTGACTAGATATAAAATATTTTATCATGAGATTTCAATAAATTTCTCTAATTTCACCAATTTTGTTAAATATTTTAACGGTAAAACGTTAATTGCGATCCGTCAATGATACTGGGAATTTTTTCCTGTCCAATTTGGACATTCACTTTAAAGTAATATCATTTTTTAACTTCTTTTTAGGAACCGTGTTATAATTAATAGCAGGTAATTGTGGATATCGAATTGGCCGATACGCAGACTGTAGAGGTCGGTATTGCACTTGGTGATAATTAAAAGGTCTCACACTACGAAAACTTTGACAAGGAGTGGCTTGCACTGGTCTGGGATAATAGCACCTCGGAACAATTTGCCTTGGAGAAACAAATTGGTAATTACTATTTCCTAGACCATCCAACGGCATCTGAACTGGAAACAGTTTCCTACAAGACTAATCAAGTCTTTTCGGTGTGTCTATTTTTTGCACTGTTAACAGCATTCTTCTGAGACTCAGGAAGTCCTTCCATAAGTGCTTCCATCATTGTGCAATCAGTTAGTTTCAAGCTGGCTCCTAATTTCAACTTATTACGAAAATTAACATCATTATTAAATTTCTCGTATTTTAAAGACACAAAATCACTAAAGGTACACAGATTCCGATGTTGTGAAGTATGTCCTCGAAAAATAACCTTTATGTGTCCAGTCTTTATTTAAACAATCACGTAAATAGAGGCTAAAGCCTCTCTCTCTACACTCTGAGAAACAAATCTTTTCCTTTTCTGGAATGTTCGTTGCGGCACATTTTCTTCAAACAATAGAAGATATTTGTCTATTGGAAATTTGTACTTGTGCCATCAAAATAGGAAATTGGAATTTTATTGTCCACAATAGCTACGGATTCTTTCTTATCAGTTGACATTTTTGCCGTTTTTGAGCGTGTTAACATTCCAATCACAAAATCTTGAATTAAGAGTTCGCATACACATCAATTGAACACTAAAAATCAATAACTTAGAAGCACTTGATAAAACGCTAACTTTGGAGACGAGAAAGTACTTAAGAATCGCCGGAAAGAAGCACAAGCATCAGACGATCACACACTGTCCTTGACCCACTGTGAATTTAGAAGCGCGTTGTAAATAAATCAGGAGCTTTTCCCGTAGAGGATAAATCCTGCCGGCTAATTAATACGTAATGTTTTCATTATTCCTACACATCGTGGGCGAATGGTGAGGCTATTCCATTACACGTTCTGGAGATGGAACGAAGTGGGTGATGAAGACGGAGTAAATGACGAATCAGGACTTTTCACTTTTAACAGCAAGCATATCTTATTTAATTTTAGCAGATGACTGGCTCGATGAGTATCAAATGACTTATCATATGAACATAGATCGACTTACTTTAAAATTTAATACACATAACGTCTAACACGAAAGGGAGCATAGCGAGCGTAGCAGGAGAAGCGAGATGCATGTCTAGGAGAACTTAGACTCAGCATTTTATGAATGGTTAGTAACAAGTAGCTTCTAGAAAATGTAGAAAACTATGACGAGCATTTATATAGGGGTTATGTAATAGGTGAATGTTCTAGCAGGTACTGGGTTAGGGGCGTCCTGATGCAAAAGTATTAAGGTTGCTGGTCGCAAAAAGCAAAGCATGTATTTTTTTTATTTTTACATATATATGTTATATTGATTATTCGAATAATCTACGTTCTTATAATATTTTTTTTTTTTTTTTTTTTCGGCCCGCCTAAAGTTAAACCTTGTTTGTTTGGCCCAAGTGTACCTATGAGTTTGACATCCCTGGTGTAGACATTTCTCCAATTGGATTTCAACAATTTCCAGTGACTGCGGAAGAAAAATTAGAAAAGTGATTTAATACCGTGTGAAGGTTGTTTTATGGGTGCCCCTTTAAGACCATAAGATCACTTCGTTATCAGGTGGGTGGGGAGCACTCCAGCAACCTTACTGTGTGAAGGTTATTGATGTCTGTTAGAGTCTTCTAGTGCTGTGTTTACGCTTTCGTCGGTTACGCGACGTGATGTTTGCAATGAAAATTTTAAGTGGTTAATTCTGCTGTATATCAACAGATTGGTGTTTTTCTTTTTCTGAAGGAGGTGTCTTCGCTAAAGTGTGCACTTCTTCTGAAAGATTCTAACGGTGTTTATAGTAAAAAAAGTCTCATCGAGTGTTAAAATATCAGTGCTTCCAAGAAATTTGCTATTCGATAGTGATTAATTTGCAAATTTTTCACTGTTTTCAATCTTCAAAATTGATGCTTCAAATTTGAGTTTTCCGTGTATCAAGTGCAAAATGACTATTCCGTGCTTCAAAATTTTTCCAAAGTGTTTTGTGTAATGTGAAATGCAAACACGATAGCAAACGAAAATGTCTACAGAGAAAAGTGATATCGCGACTGTTACTGTTTGAAATTAATCCATTTCTTAACTTATTTTAATAACTTCGGACAAATGGAAATATGTTTCGCAGAGAAAACCTTTTTAATCAAAAACGAACCTCTTTATTTAGCATTCTAAACATATCAAAAAAGGAACATTCCGTGCGTTATCACGCTCAACGCATATGTAAACAAAACATCACAGTTGCCACAAAAAATATATATTACCGACCCTAGTGATTATGGGTCTGCCTATTGTAGGGGACTCAGTCAGAGGCGAGGCTCAACTATTCTTGATGTATCAATCTGACCATCCAGAACTGTTGGTAGTGGGGACGATCTTCTATGATCTGCATCTTGATCTGTATTTAACGAGACTTGGCTCAAAGTGTTGAGGTAGCTATGAGGGACAAGCCACTTCTAAAGGATACAGGTTTTGGAAGGGTCTTATCACAAGTCTTCTTGAAATTTTACAGTAATTCAAGAACTGCAGTATTTTGAACCAAGCCTGAAATTCTCTTTCTATATCTTGTGCAAGATTTTTCATCCCAGGAAAATTTCATCTTCCCTGTTTTTTGCAGAATTAGTTTTGGAAAAAACGTAGTTGGACAAGTAAATCCGATGGGGGTTGAATATCCTTTGTGCAACTGTCAGCAGAGATCTTTTCGTGCGGACACTCTCAGAAAATGTCAAAGGGGTTAAATTGGAATAAATTTCATCATTCTCGATGTCCCATGAGAGTCCCAGAATTTGAATGATCTTCTGATAGGAAGTCATGCTTTTATCTTTGAATGGTGCAGCTGTCCACCCTCTAAGGTGAAAACCTCCTGAAAACATTAGAGTTTGGGACTCTTCTTTGAACTTGACTACTTCCTCGTCGGTTTCTAAACTAGCTATACAATTGTCGACATAAATGGATTTCTTCAATCCAAGTGCCGTTGCTCTTAAATCTTGTGGAGCATTATCCAAATGGTAGGAAATCGTTGCTCCCAACAGAACTGGATTCGAAGAAATGCCGAACATGACATGACAGTGTCTGTAGGTAACAATTTCGGTTTGATTTTAATCTTTACACCACAGGAATTTCAAAAAGTCTCTGTCTCTAGCATACAAATTGATTTGTAAGAAAGCTTTCTTTGTATCGGCAGTAACACCAATTGCATGCTGCCGGAATTGCATCAAAAGTTTTGGAAGCATTTCTATTAAACTCAGTCCCTTTTCGAGGCAAGCGTTCAAAGAATTCCCATTTTCATCCTTCAAGTATGCATCAAATACGAGTCGCACTTTCGTAGTCAGAATGGAATCCTTGATTTCTGTTTGATGAGATAAATAGTGACCAGTATCACTATTATTCGGGACTATTTCAATTATACCTTCCTCGTGCCAGCGTTTAATAATACGATCATACTCTTCGAAATATCCCCTCTTCTGCAGTCTTCGTGTATTGGCGAAAAGTCTTTTTTCAGCTTTATCTTTATTATCTTGAAGAAATCCATTTATCTTTATTATCTCCAAGATTCCGATGACTATCCTTCCAAGGCAAACAGACTTCATACCTATTGCCTTCGATTACTTTAATGTTTTCTAGGAAAAATTTGATCATTTCAGTGTCTAAATTCTCCTTGGTCTTCATTTCTGCTGGATCTTTTATGCCATTTGTCTCTAAATTCTACAGTTCTGTGAGATCCAAATAGCAAAGTCCGACAGTATGAAGCAAGGTATTATGATTTTGCATCGGGCCTTATAGGGTCTAACCCAATTTTGTCTCAATGCAATATGGTTTTTGTCAATTGGAATTATATTATTCGTCAGCAACTGTCCGGAATAGTCGGCTCCTATTAACAATCCGATATCTGGCGCATCTCTACCAGAATCACTGATTTTGATTTTATGTTCTCGAAGTGAGGAACATATATGTTTGAGTTTCATTCTAAGATTGTAACCACAAATTTTGCCTTTTTCTAAAACCGATAATTCGTATTTGAATTTATTTTCTATACCTTGTATTTCGATATCAAAAATAGCATGGACCTGAGATTCAGTTTCAACTCCAACAAACAGATTGTGGTTCAAAGTCTCTTGATATAATGGGACTAAATCTAGTCTCTTTAATATGTCTTTTCATAAGTAAGATCTTTGTGATTCACTCACGTCGTTCTCAAAATCGTTCTCACAAGTTCTGTTTTCCCATTATGGACAATCTTCACCATAACAGTTTGGAGAAGAGTTGTTTGCAGGTTTTGGCTAGACAATAAAGTCTCACTCGTTTCGTTTGCTATTTTAGGTGCTTCCTTTTAGAAACTTCTAGAACCTTTTAGTTATCTGCACATCACCGTTACATGATGTTTGTTGAAAAATAGGCATTTCGCAGAACTTTTACACTTTTCGGCAGCAGGCCCAACTTTTAGGCAGTTAAAAACAAGCCATTTTCTTCCTTAGTAAATTTTTCTTATCTTCCAATGAAGGCCTGTGCAGCTTAAAGCACTCATAGAAATTATGTGTTTCTTTGTCACACCAAACACAAAAATTAAACTGTTTATTCCTTGAATCTCATGCATAAATACAAGCTGCTGTGGCTGGAACAGAGTCAACTTTGTCTGGAGCAGAAAAACTTGTAAGGGCCAAATGAAGACGCTCTTCACTTTCAACTTCAATTCGAAAAAAAAATGCAATAAATTTTCCAAATTTTCAGTGTGTGCAACACTTTTCCTAAGCTGGCGAGATCGCTCCCATGCCCTCAGAATTTCTTCAGATAGTGAAGTCTCTACAAGGGGATACAGCATAGCTGCATAAATCTTCCTTTTTGCTCCCAACGTTTTCAAAGCTCTGAGTTGCGTCCCTAACTTATCATATAAGTTGGGATAGAGTCATATTTCCTTTTTTGCCAGCTTGAGCCAAAACCAACTTTAATAATTCGTGAACATAAAGATTTCTACCAGTAATTTTTAGCGTGAAAAATTGAGATTTCAGCTGCTTGATAGCTTCTTTATAATTCGCATCTGAGGGAGGATAACTATCTATGAGCTCTCTCGCTGGGGATCCAAC